ACATCTTCTGTTTCAAATGTCTATCTTCATGCCATTATACTCTCAACCATGTCGTACTGTTTACCTGTTTGGTCTCTTACAACAAATGAAATCTTAGAACCCATAGTTAGGCTCTACAACAGGGCCTACAAAATTCATAAAAAACTTCCTGGTTGGACTCATCACTGTACAGTTCTTTCATTGTCTGATGCCTTGACTTTTCAGAATTATGTTTTGTATAGTGGTATTAATTTATATTTTCAGATCTTCCAAGGTGCCAATTATGGAACTCTCTGTGCATTGTTGCCCAAGTCAAATTCTGGAAGTGGTCATTCAACTAGATCTGTTACAAAAGGACAACTGATATTACCAACTTTTAAAAACTGTTACGGCCAGAGGTCTTTCTTCTATGTTTATACTAAAGCATGGAATGACATTCCTCAAAACATAAAGTCCATTTCAAAACTACAGCCCTTTAAGAAGAATCTTGTCTGCCATCTGCTGGACACTTTTTGTTGTGCTCATATTTAGACGTCCTATTTTGCAAATGCTGCATTCCTGAAATTTGGTATGCTTGTTTGTCTTTGTGTCTATGGTGTATAATGATGTGATTGTGATGCTGTATTTCTGAGTGTTTTATGTGCTGCAGAACAGGAACCTGCTGTAAAACAGCAATTATGCTGAGTCAGGCTTGATTTTTAGTAATCTTTTCCTGTTGAATCAATAAATCAAATCAAATCAAGTACAATAGCCAGTCTACAGTCTAATATGTTTGATCTGATTCTGAACAGTGCAGATTCAAGATCTTTGGTGCTAAATTAAAAAAAATCAGACAAACCTTCCTACAAAGTATAATAAAAGAGCAGGTATTGGGTAACAACAAAAACGTGATGTGGTAGTGGTCTTTTTGAAGCCTTGGTTTTGATCATGGCTGCTGATGCCCGTTGTGCCACTCTTACATTATTCCCTAAGATATCCTCTTGGCTTCCCCAGAACCCAGTGGTCCAGCAGTGAGAGCTGATACACAGGTCTGATTTGTCAGGGTCCTTGTGATCCAATGATCCATCATATCTGTCTAGCCGAGGCTGCAGGCTCCTGTGGGATTGGGCCTTTGTTTGTATTTGCTGATGATGGAAGCTCAGCCTTTGTCAAGAAAACCATTAGAAGCACAGCAGGCCCAGAAAAATGAGCCAACCTTGTCACTCCACATGGGAGCTCAGTCTCGATTGCAGATCACTCTAAGACCTGTCACAGTTGACCACCGTACATCCAAGCCTTTGAACTAGGGTCAACTAAATAGATGGAAGATCTTGTGTATGGGGTTTGATATGAGCCTTAGAATAATGGTGAGTGTTGAATTTTTATCTGATGTAGGGTTAATGAAAGGGGTTAGGTGTATTGGGGTATGGTGCCAGAGGTGTGTGTTGCCCTATTGGCTTCACCTTTTATAAGTTTTGTCATGTTCCACGTGTACACAATGGACTCTTTGCTTGGTCACCGTATTCTGAGCAGCAGCCACAAAGGAATCTAGAGAATCAATGCAATTTAGGACAGATACAAAAAAATGTCATCACACTAGCTTAAGATCAAGAAGGCAACAAAACAGTCAATCGTCTTCAGTGTCACTATCACACATCCTGGTCAGATGATTGCAACACGTCAGAAACCCCCTCTATTCTGCACTTTTAGGCATTAGAACAGGTGAAGCAACAACCTTGCATTGAACCTACTAACAAGTATTGACCAACATGTGGTACTAATATATTTTTTATTTATAAAACATATTTTATTAAATACTTTTTCTCTGGAATAATTTAACCCTAAAAGGTTGATAAAAACCATTTAGTTTGAGATTCCAACAGTCCCACATCTTTCTCATTTGTTTCTTAATTAACTCACTGTATCCTGTTTGACCTTAACTCCTCCACTTTTATTTATTTTATCACAAAGATGGCACACCCTCACCTTGCTTGTACTGTCTTCAGACTAAAGCAATGCAATAGCAGAGATGTACCAGTATAGTGGGAAACTCTGTATCACGTTAGTAAAATAAGTGTTTCACAGATTTCTATAGATAAGCCCGGTGTTTGTCTTAAGTTCTGCATCCTTCACTGAGCTGCTGGGCCCTTATGACTGCCTGTCGTATATCAGCAGCGCTGCCACTGTCAAGTCCCTGATTTATGACTGTTTATCTGCAGCCCCTAACCCACCACCTTGTTCCCCCTAACTCCAACAGATGGTCTCAGACTATTTACTCAGGGAGAAAAACACTTTCAAACTGATTGAATAAATACAAAAAAAACAGAAGTTTATGGGGCAAGGTGTTTGTGACTTCACTGCATTTGTTATGGGACAAAACTGCAGGTCTGTCTTTGTTGTTTATTGAGTGTGATATTAATTAAAGGCTTTAGTTTAAACTACTTCCTTTAGGCTTTCATATGTATGGGCAACCATGACCCTTTTTAGCATATTGATAAAATATCAACTGTTACATCAGGAGTCTAGTGATTTAATTTATTATTATTAACATGTAATTGTGGAAACATTCCTTCATCTGTCATGTTCTGCAGGGTTGTCGCCTTAAATCTCTTCGAGTATTTTCACCCTCTAAATCTCACTGGTGTCAAAGCTTCACAGAAACTCACACATTGCACCATAAATCATACGTCATAGTCTTAGCGAGGCTTCGTTTGATTTCTTGGTCTCTGGAGAAAGGCCTTTAGTATCCTGTCAGTATTTTTGAAATGCRTTCAGCTAATATTGTTGTAAATATTTTTAGTACTTGTAAGTATTAGCTTTTTGAAGAACTTTTTCTTCATTTGATGGATACAAACTAGATTTTGGCCCTTGCACCTATAGTCATATATTCTGAATCCATGTTGTTATTTATTTATTTATATTTATTTATTTATTTTTCTAATCCAAAAAGATTTTGGATGCAAGTGCAGAGATAACAGATTCTAACATTCTCCTGTGGATATTACATTCCATATAGACATTAAAATGGCTCGTAGTGACCATAATACTGCTTACACCGTACTGTTTTGTCTGGCTTAAATACACAACTGTATTCATGCACACGTCTCTGAAAGTTGGAGCATCAGACAAAATGTCTCCCAGTCAAATACTTCTTAATGGGAGAATGGCTTATTTGTCTGGTTGTGGTAACGTTTTGCAACCCTGGTCCTCGAGGCACACTGCCCCGCATGTTTTAGATGTTTCCCTGCTTCAACACAGTTGATTTCACTTGGTAACTGATTAACAGGCTTTTGATGAACTGCAATCATCTGAATCAGGTGTGTCAAAGCAGGGAGACCTCTAAAACAAGCAGGGCAGTGTGCCCTGAGGACCRGGGTWGAAAAACACTGATCTGTACAACWAACAAGAATAAAGTAAAGAAGGTTATTTGTGGGTATTATGATAAAGCCAGCTTATCAGCCAACATCAGTTCTCACTCATTGACTGAGCGGAGCCACTTGTGGCTTATCTCAGTCTTAATTAACCTGTAATAAAACGTAATGGATCTTGGTCGGCATCATTTGCACCAGATGTGCACTTAATTTTAAATGTCAGTATTTTATTTATTTATTTATTTATTTATGTATTTATTTATTTATTTGCTATTAATTAGGCATTAAAAATATGTAGATATATACAATTTATTTAACATTATTGACAGAGCAGTTGAAAGGCTTCCACCTAGAAAAGCCATGAGAGAAAAGTTAATTTATTAGAATAAAACACATTAGTCTGATTACCTCATAGGTAACATTAAATTTACCTGTGTGTTGTCTTTTAAAGGGACATTTTCTCATTTAGACAAAAAAAATAATTTTCATGTGAAGTATAATGCGTACACTTTTTTACTGCAGCGTATTATGTAATACGTTGCCATGATGACTGCTGTTTACTAAACAAGCGCTACGGCATGTTGGTATGATTTCAGCAGTGTTAAATATATCTGATAACTTTGCTTTTCTTTCATGTTTTAACTCGCCGTGCAGGTTATCTACGCAGAGCGAGATCCAGCGGTTTAAGATCCCCCGTAACGCCATCTGCCCACATTTCGACAGACGTCATATACATCTGGAAAAAATCTTTTAGAAAGGGAAGTGTGTTATGATTGAAAAAGCAAAGAGGTTAGGATAACAGAACAGCTCAGCTTGGCAAACGTAAACTCCCCTTTTGGTGTTTAAACGTGATTTCCACTTGATACATCAAGGGAACAAACAAGTTCATCTGAGTTTAAACTCACTGCACAAATAGTAATGACACTGTTGCATCAGTTTACTCTAAACCTCTTTCACGTGTTTTTATTTGCTAAAGCAGAATTGACCCGTCTAACATCACCAACAGCTTCTCTAGCTGGCACAACCAAAAAGTACAAAGGAAATGACATCATATGGTTTTTGATCCAAGTTTGAACATATAGCTTGTAGCTTTYGGAGGCAAAGCAATGGCGTAATGAGCGTCCCTGGGAACAATTATGTCCGAAATATGTAAGACGCAACAAATCCTACGCTAAATACCCTGCAGTGTGTGAGGCTGAGAGATGTAAATTTACACTGTTTACCCCCTTTTCCCCACAAATTGAGCATAATTAGGCCATTATATAATTAACAACACAAATGTTACATGCACGCATGTTTATCCAAAGTTTAGTGAGGGGTTTTGGCTGGGGCTACATGGTTATAAGTCATGTGCTTGAAAGTATTTGGGGACTGCTGGTTTTGGTTTAGCTGTGGTCACCATGAACACAGATGTCACTCAGGAGAATGTGGAGCAGCCAAAACATAAAGTGGAAATGTTAACCCAATAACGCTAAACAAACAGTCAGAGGAGTGAAGCCAAAGACAGCAGAGAGTGAAGGGAAAGTGTCCTGCTGGCATCAGGTTTCCCAGAGTGAGTGTTATTTGAAAAGCAGCTGAAGGGTGACACTCACTCTCCTCCCACCCGGTCTCCCACTCTGCCTCCCTCCTCGCTCACATGACCATCTGTTGTTCGCTGTTTTTCTTTTTCAGGCTGCTCTAAGTGCCTTGAAACAGCTGTCGGAGCAGGGACTGGACCCAGTAGATGGCCCCATCAAGGTACGGTAAGACATTGATCACACCAAACTCAGTGATAAGTCGTAGTTGACCCAGTGAGGGGAAGATGATGCTGCTGAGGCGTAAAGACACGTGTTTGAGTCGACCCCGCATAGCGTTTCATCAGTGTCCTCGCCATCCACATGCAATCCATCAGTTCTGCTTGATCTTTTTCTTAAAAGGAAAGCAACAGTTGGCATATATTATATGAGTATGTGCTSTCCTGCCAGTGTTGCAGAATTTGCTTAATTGTTAGGCTTAGTCATAACAGAGGAGAGGGTTTTCCTAATGAGCCTGACCCTTATCTCCTCCACGACCAGGAAGGAAGTAGGAAAGTCGACAGTGATGAATGCAGTGGGAAAGTTTGAGTAATGTGGGTGGTGTGGGTGTGGGCGGGGGTGGGAGGTAAACTACGTAGGAAGTTGTTGTCATGTTCTTGAGTAYTTTCTTGGTAGGTTAAGCAATAGAAAAATGCGTCAAAGAAGAAAACTACAAGCTTCATTTGCCTCACCAAGAAGAAACAATTTGACTTGAATTAATTATTTTTCCTCTCTGGTCTTTCAATAAAATGTTTAAAACCTTGTTAATTATCCATGTCGTTTGAATTCATCTGGTCAAGAACTCATTTTCAGTGTTTCCCTAGAGCATTTTCACCGAGGGCCACATGAGCGTTATGGTGGCCCTTGAACCTTCTAATGTAGGATGTGGATAGGTAAATGGTAAATGGTAAATGGACTGTACTTGTATAGCACTTTTCTATCCATCCAGGACGCTCAAAGCTCTTGACRCTACAATCTGTGTCCTCATTTACCCATTCACACAGCACTCTATTAGGTCTCTACAAAGCTAACTTGTACAATCGTCTATGGAGACTAATCAGTGCCAATCACATTTATACACTGATGGGACACACATCAGAGGCATTAGGGGTGAAGTGTCTTGCMCAAGGACACAACAACTGAGACAGCTGGGCGGGGGATCGAACCAGCGACCTTCCGGGTCCAGGATGACTCCCCTAACCACTCTCCCAAGGCCCTCAGTGTGAGCGAGCTATATCCACCCTGAAGGTTTATCTTGGACAATATCTGAAGATCGACTCTTTTAAATGAAACCAGAGAGCGTTGACAGAGAGGAGAAGGTAGAAATGACTCAGCCTGTAACTGAAAATATAGATGCAGGACAACAGAGCTGCTTCATGGAAGAAGAACCTCAGCTTAGCCTGTTAGCCTTCGCGCTAGCGCCGACACTATATTGCCTTATATGTATTAGCTCGGCACTAGCACGACAAACAAGCTAAACTGAGGTCCTCCATCCATATTTTCAGTTGCAGGCTGAGTCATTTTTGCGTTCCCCTCTCTGTCATGTGGATGGAGGACCTCAGTGACGAGAGGAGAATGTGTAGCGCTGAGCTAATACATTTATATGGTGATAGCATTGGGGCTAACGCTAAAGCTAACAGGCTAAGCTGTGGTTCTTCTTCCATGAAGCAGCTCTGTTGTCCTCCATCTATATTTTCTGTTACAGACTGAGTCATTTCTACCTTCTCCTCTCTGTCAACGCTCTCTGGTTTCATTTAAAAGAGTCGATCATCAGATATTGTCCAAGATTAACCTTCAGGGTGGATATAGCTCGCTAGCAGCCTCGCACCGAGGACCTATCCACGTCATCATTTACCCAGAATGCTTTACATGTAAATAAAATGGTCCCATCCATGTAATATATTTTTTAAACTTTTAGTTTAAAAATTATAAAAACTGAATATCCTACAGTAGTTTTATAGTCTTTATTTTACAGTTAAAATATATGTTTATTAGATAAATTCTAACGTTACAACTAATCATGTGTCCCTTTAAAGCCAACAGCTCGGGGGCAGGACAATTGTTATCTTTCACCTTTTAAATTTATTTTGTTGCATTTAATCCTAAATGTAATGTTTACTATTGATATAAGAATCAATTTTCATGTTAAGTAAAAAAAAATAATTTTTTTTGGTGGGCCACACAGGAGTGGCCCGCGGGCCTTGAGTTTGACACATGTGCCCTAGAGTATTCGCTTTTGAACACAGAATGGTCCGCCGCAGAAATATTACAAGTATTTATTACAATAGTGTGTAAAATAGTTGAAATAACTGATATGTCTAGGCATAAACTAATTTCAGATACCTGGAATGTTAGTGTGTTGAAGCTGATTAAATGTAAAAATGCATAACCATACATTAAAAAAAAGCTTCTGCATGTTGCTGAAAATGATCCTCTGCATTCCCAGAGAAGAAACCTATTAATAAGCAAGATGGACTTAGGAGCAAGCGTATGTCAACATCTTCTTTTCATCTCTGCATTTAACAAGGAAAAAAAAAACCAACATTTTCCTCCTCACAATCATTACAGTTGTTTATACGCTTGGCTATGCATGATGTACAGCAGGGGGCGTTATGAGGATTTATCTCCCCCACGAGAAAATATTGAAACTTATTGCGGTAATACATTTGAAAAAAATGGCCAAAATTTACTAATTAATACAACCTCAAGGGGGTTCTAAAACACAAAGCATCTTATCAGTTACTGTGGCTCAGATTAAGGTCAAGGGCATTTTAAGTGTCTTGAGTCATAKTTTCAGTTCTTGTAGTTTCTCTGGAAGTTTATTTACAAGAATCGCTTGTGTTGTTTTGTGGAGTTTTTTTGTGTGTTTTTTATTTATTTTTTTATTTTGTAGGAGCACTGAGTGAATCTCAATATCTTCCCAAAGAACGCAGAACAAATTACCCTCCAAGGGAGTGATTATTTGCAACATTGCTCAGGTCATTTGACACTCCCCCACCACCACCTAACCCAGCTTCATTTGTCTTTTTTCAGACCACTGAACCATGTGGAAGGGAGGACGGACATTAAACAGACTAACTCAGGCACCACCACTCAGGTCTGCAAGGATTCAACGGCTGTCGTCAAGGAGCTGACAAACCCAGACCCCCTTCAATGAAACTGACCCGATTCCTTCATACCCTACAATCCAAGTTATCCCAAACTAGCCAAAACCTACCTAACCCCAACCCTAGTGCTGGGCGGTATAACGGTTCGTACCGAATACCGTTTTTTATTTTTGCTACGATACGAATTTTCTGAATACCGACATACCGGTTTAAATAGCCTGAACACGTGCGGAACGTTTCGTCGCGGCCGCCAGTGAACTGTTTCCCGGGGGACACTTTTCCTCGCTGCACCGCTATGTGCATTAGCATGCTAATGTTATTGTTGCAGCCGTAGCGGCGGGTGGCGATTCCGCTGCTTATATTGGCTGACGTTAAAAAACATCCCGTTTTCGCGGTCGCTGAATGTAGTAAACACMTCTTCAGTGACGTGCACGGTTAGATTAAACACGCGACGTTAATATGGAGACGTGGAGACGCATGGAGACTTTAGCATGCTTCTATTGTGAAAAGCTGGGGGGGACGAAGTTTTTTWGTGGAATTGAGTTGACTGGTGTGCAAGGTGAGTCGTGCTGTTAATCTTTATTAAATAACATAAAACAATAGACCCGATAATAATCTTTTATTAACCCTCCTCCTTCACGACCGGACCAAAATGCGTGACTACTGTCTCCAACCAGGAGGAGAAGAAAAGACGTTTAGAGGAGGGAAACAGAGACACAGACAGAGGTAGAGTAAAAGAAAAAAGTCAATAAGCAGTGTTTGTGCATTTTATTATCAACTGACATGTGATGAAAAGGAAAATACCGGGATATACCATGAAACCGGTGTAAATGTTGAAAATATCGTGATATAAAATTTTGGTCATACCACCCAGCACTACCCAACCCTACCCCACGATTGCCACTGTATCCTGCAAAACCTGTAAACATGCAATAGGGTGGATGTGCACCAAGAAATGACCGACTAAAATACCCTTACCTGAGTCTATGTGAAGACAACGCTATCTTAACACGTTTATTGATCATTTCAGTCGATAATTAGACGAAAACAATACAAACAAAAGCGATAATTGCATGGCAGTGTTTGAAGTCCAAAGCTATGTAAGACAATTTTCCCTTTGGAGGAACGTTGGTGTGGTTAAAACAAATCTGTACATCATGCCATTGAATTATAAAAGAAACCTTTAAGGGGAGAAACCAACTTATGGTACCGTAGCTTATTTTTTTTCCGAGGTATTATGTTACCTTTTTTTTTCCTTTATTTTTTTTATTTGTTATTTTATTACTCTAACAATGCTTGAGTACTGTATTTAAAATTAACCAATGCCAGTGCTGTGAAAGTTGTAGTTGTTGTCTTCATATATAGTCACCCAGCTTACCTTGTATGCTGACAAAAAAAAGAGAAACAGTTCATCTATCTATATGGATGTGTACAAGTTTGCAAGAATATATATAAAGAAAAAAAAACACTAAAAACGTTTTTATGTGAACAAAAAGGACAAACTGGTGTTAGCATTAATTATTAGAAGTGTCGCCCACCCAGGAGGGAACGTTAGACCAGCCTTTCCTTCTTTTGGTGGTCTACCTGTCCCGTTTTAACATAACCCCCTCCACCAACACTGGCAGATCATCACTGGAGCATTGCCTGAACAACAGCGAAGGCTAAGGGGGTGCCTGCACCGTTGTTCCTTTTAGCTACAAACAGGCCAGTCGTGCACATCCTCTAATGCCAGTAAACTTAACGTCGAGTCAGAGAGTTGAGCACAGACTGCACGTTCTCCAGTGATAGAGATGTTCTCATCATTCCGGTGATTTTGTGTCAGTGGATCATCCCCTCTTTCTAGCCCCGCCCCTCTCCTCAGCAGTTTTTGTCGATCACATCTACACCCAYTGTGTGTGTTATATTGACTTGCCAAGGCATCAACTGGGTGCTTTTAATGCCTGCAGTTCTGAAGTGCACCTTTTTGGAGCGGAGAGAGGCTGTGGCCGCACTGCAGACTCTAAAATGACGCTTTGGATCACTTTGTCCGCTGACATCGAGGATGTGTCGTCTTCTTTGCTGTGAGTGCAATGTGTAATACGGCCGTTTGTTACGGAAATGCAGTAAAATCACCTCAGTTCATGTGGAAAAACTCTTGTTTGTTGTCTTTTCTTCTTTCCCTCTAGCTGCTTTAGAAAATGTCACCGCAGCTATAATCAGCACATTTTTTTTACATCACAAAAACTCTTTTTCCTCAATAAACCTAGAGGCAAGAAAAAAACTATCTTTATCTTGCTTTTTAACTTGTTTCCAACTGAAATAGACCTAAACTCTTCTTTGCTATTTAAGGTCATTGCTTCTGGCAAAACTGGTCTTAAAATTAATAAATAAATTATTGATCTTTGATTGTTCTATGAGTTGGTTGATTATAATATATGAGACCCATCACATCAAAATGAGGATTAACTCCAAAAGTGTTATATGGAGAAAAAGGCAAATATAGTGTTTTGACTAAAATGTTAACAAAAATTGCATTTTGTCAAAATATAATGAATAAAAG